ATGATGGGTCCCCTCCGCCGCCCCCGTACCCGGGCCGGGGCCGCCCCTTCCCCCTGAAAGCCTGGCCCCTCGGGGTTACGGCGAGGACGGGAAAGGAGCTGCTCCTCATCCCGGACCATGCTGGGGAGGAGGAGGGGAGCTGGAGGAAAAGGGCGCTGCGCCATGGAGGGTGTCTCCTCACGCCCTCCCGCTGCACCCTGGTGAGGGAGACCTGTGAGAGAAGCGGCGAAGGAGAGCAGGACTGTCACGGCTGGGAATGCTCTTCCCAGCAGCACTGGCCCCTCTCAGGTGATTTTTATTTATGTATATAAGTTCACCGCATTCCTCTGCGGGCTGCATGCACAGGGGGAGCCCCCCCCACAAATCCATAACCCAACACTCGTTATCTCCAGTGCTCACACGTTTATTATTTCATCTCCCACGGATCTGCACCATCTGTCAGAGGTGCAGCAGTGTGTACCTTGTGGGATTTATTACAAAGAGACATCATACTGTCACCCTGGAATGTAAGCTAATAGGAGAAAATGAGTTTTTTACAAATTGGCTTTATCAACACATTTATTTTTGTGACTGCTGTTGGAGATACAACGGGTTCGAGTGTAAAATAACAGTGGCAACTTACAGAGAAGGATTCAAACACCTCGTCAAAGGTGATGGGGCATTTTTTTAAAAAATTATTTCTATGGGGAATGATATGGCAGAAATCAGAGCTAGGTCATATACTGTAAAAGCATAAGAACACCAAGTCAAGGTTTAGTTTTCACAATATGTATTTTAAATGTTACATTTAAATGTTATTCAGAAGAACACTGTAAATAAAGTTACAAAACATAGTAATCTAAGAGTCTGAAAATCTACAGTAAAAATAGGGAGCCTGTGTCTTCAAAAACAATGAATAAATATAACATTTAAATAGCTGCAACATACCAAATACTTATGCCTTAAATAAAAAAAAATAGATGTCTATATCTCTCTCAGTATTTTAGAAGTCACATAGTGCTACTGGAAGCTTCTAAATTACAAAGCTGGAGGCTGACAAATATACAGAATAGAAAATGACAGCAAAGCATTCACTAACTGTCCAACAGATGTGGCCTCCACGTTCTGCCCAGGGCCTAACAGAAGCAAGTTCAGACTTTGTCATTTTGGGCAACAGCAGCAAAAAGAATTACCAATTTTAGGACTGAGTTGACAGTCGTGGGGAAGATAAAGGGATTGTAGTCTACTATATCCCCTAAAAACTGGGATATGGCAGTGTCAAACAGAAGGAACCAGACCTTGATACCCACTCCTCCACTGCACAATCATTTAGGCTGCCAGCTTCAAGACAGTGGACCATACACAAAATAGATATAGGGCAATTCTCTTATATATATATATATTTTTTTTTTTCCTCAAGAACCCCTCGATATGAGGTTTAGAGCTGCAATACACAGGCCACCACCAGAACAGAGATTTCAGTCATTTTTCTGTTACTCCTTGGGATTCATCACGTACTCCTGAAACATTGAATACAGCACACCTACAAGACAGAAATACGAGCTGGGTTAAATAGGAAATAATGGGTTTCAAAAGCTGAACAGTAAGAGATATTCGCACCAATAGAAATAATGTTTCCCTTTCTCTGGTGCTGTATTTTATTTTTTTTTTAAATAGCAGTGATGAACACTACAAAGTTCTTCATCATATACAGAGAAACTGGATATGACATTAGACTGGATATGAAAATGCTGATCTCAAGCCAATTCTAGTTTGCTCTGCAGCCAAAGTCAAACTTTTCTGTTGTATCTTCCGGGAATGCAGTAGGCAAACAGCGTGTCATGGGATATACATTTACACATATACACAGCTGCAAGACCTAGATAAGATCCGGGATGTACAAATCACTCGGTACATCCAGGGACAGAATTCCAGTCCTGAAAATACCAGCAGAGGCTATGCTAGCTGATTTTCCAATGCACTGAATTCAGAGATAGCAGCATATATACAAGGCAAAATATTAACATCAGGTAGTCTTTTTTTTTTTTCCCTTTGCCTCTAATTTCAACACCTGCAGAACCCCACACACTTCCCACCTCTAAAAGCAGTCAAAACTTCTACTCCCAATTTAATACATCCTTAAACATCACATTACTCTAGAAAGGCTGAGCAAATACCTGTAACAAATGTAAACATCCTGAAATATAATGTCCCAGACACTTCCACCCCAAGAATATTTCATGCACACTGTATTATTATCCACTAGAAGACATGAAAGAGGTTTTCCGTGGTTTGTCTGTGCCAAGGACATCCTCCCGTTCGTACATACCACACGTTATCGCTCCCACGACAAAGCCCTGGGCTGCCACACGCATGTGAATCAGGTGAAGTGACATTTTCATGTCGCCTCTGTGCTTCAGTCTGTACAACCCATAGCCGACCACCATGGCGAAGCCAGCCATCCCTAGGAGGCAAGGAAAGCATCCTCGTGAGTCGAGACCCAAGTCATCGAGATGTGTGAAGTGACCCACCTAAACAAAGTATCTTGTGAAAAATAATGTTTTGATCTAATTACTCGATGTTTTTGTGTAGATGGCAAGTCCTGGCCTGTCTACTGTTTTCCCTCAAGGGATGAGTGAAAGATTTCCACTAGCGTTAAAAAGCAACAGCAGCAACTCCAAGGTCCAGAGCACAAGTCTGATGAGGAGCGGCTGAGGGAACTGGGGGTGTTTATCCTGGAGAAAAGGAGGCTGAGGGGAGACCTTATCACTCTCTACAACTACCTGAAAGGACATTGTAGCGAGGTGGGTGTCCATCTCTTCTCCCCAGTAACAAGTGATAGGACAAGAGGAAACAGCCTCAAGTTGTGCCAGGCGATGTTCAATTAGATATTACGAAAAGTTGAATCACCAAAAGGGTTGTCAAGCACTGGAACAGGCTGCCCAGGGAAGCAGTGGAGTCACCATCCCTGCAGGTATTTAAAAGACGTGTAGATGTGGCCCTTAGGGACATGGTTTAGTGGTGAACTTGGCAGTGTTAGGTTAACAGTTAGACTTGAGGATCTTAACAGTCTTTTCTAACCTAAATGACTCTGTGATTCTAAGGTGTCAAAAGTTCCTGGGATATTTTTCAAAAAGCACAAGCGCTACTTGCACCCTCTTTCGTGGAAGGAAGCTTACACCCAAGAACACCGCTGGGCTGCAGCTCAGACACTCAGCATGTGGATGCACCCCGATGTACCCACCGGCCTGCTGAGGTTGCGATTTTGGTGTTGTCACTGTTGGCCAGCTTTCACTGGGACAGGACAAGTTACATGTTCTTGTCCCGTGCTGTAGGGAGAGGTTCCGCAAGGTCTCTTTCACAGAGGTCACTTTTATTCCTTCAACAGATCAAACACAGCCCTGTCTGTGCCAGCTCCAACCTGTGTACACTGATGATCTCTCAGAATACAGAGCAGCAATGCACAAAGCTTCCCAATTCCATCTACTTTATTCCATATTTAGGATGATTATTTACATAGTTCAAAGGAAGCTGTAAAGTCCTGTGTATATTTTACTGCCCAGAGCCCAGACAGCTTGTCTCCCTGAACAGAAGCATTACCAATTCCACTTGTGAAGCTAGAAACTCTTAACTTCACTGCTGCACAATCCACATGGTAGCTTCATTAAATAGCAATTAAAAGTTTTAGTGACTTCAAACCAGCCCCGACACAGGTTGAAGGCAAGTTCTGCTGATCTGCTTGTGAGAATCCAAACTTGTGAGTCCGTAGTACACCCTAGAGAGCTGGAGAGCAAAGTCCTGTGACCACAGAGACCAGTGACAGATATCTGTCGGAAAAACACTTGTAACAGTTCACCTCAAGTGACCCTGCTGCTCTCCATTTAAGGTGGCTGGAAATGAAAACGTGTCTCATGTCAGAGGCAGTCCCTCAGAGGAAAGCTCTTGGGATGAACACAACCGATCCTCTCTCTCCTCAGAGACTTTTTCAGGGACTTGGCAGAGGCTGAGAACTTCAACAATCTCCTCAAACTGGAGTACTACAAAACCTACTAAGAAAATGCATTTTAAACTGAAGGATGGAAGCAGAGAAAGGTGAAATGTTTAGCAGTCAGGCTGTATTTTCATAGAATCATGGAATGGTTTGGG